GACAGCTCACCCAAGAATCATTTACTTACAATCAAGTGGTTCTACACTGATGAATTTTTCTTGTTGAACATGATGTTATGAAGAATTTTTTTGTGTCAAAGCAACCATTGGTAGCCAACATCCATGGTATAGGATCAAAAATATTATGCAAGTCAGTAGCTGAACAGTCTTTTGAATATCTTTTTTATGTTCAACAGAAGAAAGAAATTCAACAAGGTTTGGAAAAAGTTTATGAATAATTTGTGACAATTAGAATTTTTAGCTGAACTGTCCTTTAAGAATGTTTAAGCAATACACATGCTTAAAAAAAACAAAATTATTAATTTCCAAATCGATGGTTGTTGATTTCTCTTAAAGGTTCAATTCACCCCAAATGAAAATTATTCCATCATTTACTTGCTCTTGTATTTTCCCAAATCAATTAGATTGTCTAATCTCTGGAAATGCAAGTGAAAATATATTTAATAAAATCTGAAAGATTTTGTGTCCTTTTTTTCATTGTGTTAATCAAAAAAATAAAAAAATAAATCAAGGGTGTCACCGTGGAGCAGTGGGTAGCACGATTGCCTCGCAACAAGAATGTCGCTGGTTCAAGCCTCGGCTGGGTCAGTTGGAATTTCTGTGTTGAATTTGTATGTTCTCCCCGTTTTCTCCCTGTTTGCGTTGACTTCCTCCAGGTGCCCCGGTTTACCCCACAAGTCCAAATACATATAGTATAGGTGAATTTGGTAAGCTAAAATTGTCTGTAGTGTATGAGTGTGTATGGATGTTTCCCAGTTATGGGTTGCAGCTGGAAGAACATACCACTGTGTAACACATATGCTGGATAAGATGGTGGTTTATTCTGCTGTGGTGGCCCCAGATTAATAAAGGGACTAAGCGGAAAAGAAAAGAATGAATGAAAAAAAAATCTATTTGTTGCTTCAAAACTTTAACTAAATCATTTTGAGCTGTCCTAACCCATTAAAGACATTAATAAAATTGGGTGCATTTTTGTAGCGAATGCAATAAAACACTGTGTACATAAGACAGTAACAAACATTTACTCAACATAAATATTTGTAGATGAGTCATTTCTCTAAAGATGATAACTGATTTCTCACAAGGCAAGTCATTTAGGGCCTTGTTTTTTTCCTGTATCTTCCTTGAATAATTCAACTAGACATTTATAAGCATGTAAATGACCATACAGTTATTTTGGTACCTGTGAACAAGTGCTTGTTGTGATATTGGTACTCTTCTCCCCATGGGTGTGATTAACAGATGGAGCTGGGAGACTCTGATAACAGGAAGGATGATGTCATACCCAGTATGACTCTGACACCTCCGCTGTTTTGGTGACACAAAAATAGGCTAACTGTGAAGTTTGACAATGTTTGTGTATATTTTGTCGTGTACTTTCATATTTCATGTTTTATACTAATATGTGTTTTATGGACTTAGTCTAGTTTAGCTAACCTATTGAATGCTGCCACCTTTTGAAGAAACTTTGTCATTGCCTTTTCAGAACTGGCAACGGAGTTACACGCAGCTAATCATCATTGAAATATAGCCTCGTGCTGATGCAGCATTTTTTTACTAATTGAAGGCCACTTTGTTTTAAACTTGGACACGCCAGTGTGTGACGCCAAGCGAAGTACTGAGGTAACTTTACGCTGTTCGTGGTAAACATTTACTTTTAGGCAAATTAAATGCAGAAACGAGTCAGAGTTCCTAAGTTATAACTAATTATACTTGTGCAAAACGTGGTTAATTGGCTTTTCTTATAAATTTGTATTGGTATAATTACGTCGTTTACTCGTGAATCGTAAATAAATCTTGAAAATGATTCTTTTCCTACTGACTCGTTTTCCCTGTTAAGATTGACTGTTGTTCCAGCCAATAGTATTCGAGTGTCAGCTGCGAACCAGCATCCAATTGGTTAGTTCCACTGTACGAACTCGCCTCTTTTGCTGAACGAGTCGGGGTTTTAAATGATTTGTTTATATAAAAGATTCGTTCAAAACAGAGGGTTGGTGCAGCACCGAACTACGCGTTTTGTTTTGAGCTGTTGCCAGATTGATCGAGAGGGGTTTATTCAGTTTGTCACGTGAGTCAATCTTGTTCAAAACAAGAGGAGAAGGGGCGGATGCGTTATGAATGTGTAAAAGCATGACACGACTCATACACAAATTAAAGTGACGTCAAGACGCGTCCTATCCAAAGTTCTGCGATATTAGTCTTGTTTTGTTTACTATAGCTGCGGTAGCCTGAGGTTGAGTGTGGAGAGAAAATGGAGGTACATGTTTTTGTTTGTTGCCATTTGTGGTGAATTGTGCTTGTTTTGCAGTTTGGTCTATTAGGGTGGCGAGTCCATAGATGTTTAACACTGACCAGGACATTGACTGGACTTTAACAGAAATATCACAAGACTATTGTACAACCCCTCTGTTGTTTTGGGATTGACCCTTAATGAATCCGTAAACCGCTAAACTGACTTGTTCTGAAACTACTCTCTGCCCTATGGTCAACTGTAGTCAATCATTACTCACTCAGCACACAGCCTCTAGTGTAAGGCAATTCTCTAAAGTTTTCAGTTCATAAAAGAGCTTCAGGATTACCAGCAGTGTGCAGGTACATTTTTAAGTGGAAAATGTTGGAACTTTGTTTAAGATATAATATTTAGGATTCAATTGTTATTATTTATTTACATACAAATGTACTATGTGATTTAAACATAATTTTGTTTCTAGCTGTCCATCACTGGTCATTTAGTTGGAGATGGCTGTCTTGAAATAATTTTTTATTGTTGTTTTTTTTGGTTGTGAGCATAGCCTACACAGCTTAAGAGGTTTAAGGATGAATGTATAATTATATTCAGTTAAATGTATTTGTTTCATATATAGACTAATAATATGTTACGTTTATATAGCACTCAAAGTGCTTTACATATTTACAGAAAATTGAATCAATACTTTAAAATTGTTGCAGTTGCCTCGGTTATTTTCATTTTACAGTATTTTGAGTACAATTCTTTTTCCACATAACACAAAATATTAACTGTTGTTTCAGGTGATGGAAGATATTTAAATTCATTCATTCATTTTCTTTTCGGCTTAATCCCTTTATTAATCTGGCGTCGCCATAGCAGAATGAACCGCCAACTTTTCCAGCATATGTTTTATGCAGCTCTTCCAGCTGCAACCCATCACTGGGAAACATACATACATACACATTCACACACATACACTACAGACGATTTAGCACACTCAATTCACCTGCACAGCATGTCTTTGGACAGTGGGAAAAACTCTAGCACTTGGAGGAAACCCACACAAACACAGGGAGAACATGCAAACTCCACACAGAAATGCCAACTGACCCAGCCAAGGCTTGAACCAGAGACCTTCTTGCTGTGAGGCAATCATGCTACCCACTCCGCCACTGTGTCACCTGGAAAATATTTATATTTATATATAAATAGATTAGGGTTACAGATTTTGGTATCCTCTCGTCTGTCTTTACATTGGAGCAATATGCTTTTTAGAAAATTATTATATTTTAAATAATACATTTTGTTTTTTATCTTTATTAATAGATTGCATTAATTATTTATACTACTAGTCAAAAGTTGAGATGATAACCATTTTCAAGGTTTACCATAGATTGGAAAAGTCAAGGTCTTAAAACCACCAACATTTTCTGCTATACTGTTCCTATGGTATGTGTAAGATTTTTTTTAGGATAACAGTATCTCCAGCAGAAAAGATATCCAAAGATGCCATTTTAAATCGTTAAGAAATCTGTGTTTTTGAAACTAATGATGACAGCAGAAGTCAAAGATTCATTTTATTTTAGCCTAACCTGTTCACTGCTCCAAAATATTGTAAATGTATCTTAAAATAAAACATATTGTGATCAAAAGGGTAAAATGTTTTTGTTTTTTACCCAGACATATAAAAAGTAAATATTTTTGAGCAGTAATCACAATACCGTGAATCCTGATATTTTTATCCAAGGTTATCATACCGTCAAAATATTATATCAGCCCATGCCTAGTCCATTAGTGCCACTAGCCCAATACCCCCATAAGTGGTTACATTCTCTCATCATTTGGAATAGAATAACTTTTGCATAGATTATGACAGAGACATTTTTCTTTTTACCTATGATTACTGACATGTGCAGGAACCAACAAAATTAAATACAGCAACTTAGACCACACAGAACCTAAAAGGTTCACTAACAAATTTAAGTTAAAAAAAAAAAAGAGCACCTCTTTTTTGGAGCGGTTTATTATAACACAGACAACATATTCAATTATTTTAGTCACTTTCAACAGTGTTTTATGTAAATTCAAAGGGTATTCTTTAAAATGATACCAAACTTTTGCATTTAAACTTTTGGGATGTTTTTAAATTTGGGTTGGCAAAATCTAGGCGGAATGCCCAGAATCGCACTTGATTTTAAGAGAGGAATTTTCAGCTTCATTACACCAGTCTTCAAAGTCACATGATCCTTTAGAAATCACTCTAAAATGTATTATTTTTATTAATGGTAATAATAATAAAAGCAATAATGACTGGAGTAATAATTTCATTTGAAACTACATACAATAAGAAAGCAGTTTTTTTTTAAATTTCAATAAATATTAAACTTTTTTTTTTTTACATTTATTAAAACCTTGATGAGCAGAATAAATTTCTTTAAAAAACATGAAAAATAAATAAAACTGAGCTTAAATTTTTGACCAGTAGTGTATATATAGTACATAAGTGATCACATCCTTTTTAACTCTTTATATCATTATCATTGGCCAGAAGGGACAAAATCATCAGCTGATAACAAATCATAACAAAAAAACCCCTGACATAATACTTCGTCTTTAAAGGATTTTGATATTGTGTTATACTGATGTGAGTGACTGTTGCAGGTTTACTATAATGCAGTGGTTAATACTATATAAAATATCATTTAACTGAATATTAATCATCTTGTTTTATATTATTTTCTCCCCTCAGGTGTGAAGTGATTCTCTTCATCTGATGTGGACAGTCTGATTGGTTTATGGCTCTGATTATTGCTCTCTCGCGTTCTCTTCACCTGCAGCACAAACTGCGGGTGGGTTTAGCATCAGTTTCCGCTCGCAGTATGTCATCATTAAACACACGAGCCCGGGCTGTGTTTTCTGCAGCAGTTGAAGGTGTGCATCCTGACATGGTGGTCCGCAGGGGTCTGGAGAGACATGGTGACAAACTCCATGTTGGTGGACAGAGCTTCACACTTACCAATAACCTGTATCTGGTGGGCTTTGGTAAGGCTGTGCTTGGGATGGCAGCAGAAGCAGAGAGGATTGTCGGGGACCATCTAATAAAAGGGGTGGTCAGTGTGCCACATGGTATCCAAAATACACTGCGCAGTCATGGCAAAGAGTAAGTATTTTAAATGATTTTTATGTATGTATATTCAGACTTTTATTTTAAACATGTAAAAAAATATATAATAAATTGAATTATTAAGCAAAGCAATCAATACAACTCAAAACAAAACAGTTTGTAAAACATGTCTAAAAACATATAGGAAGAAGCATTTGCTTATTTAATCATCATACCCCTTCTTTACTCTATATCAATGATAAATACAGTCCATACTAGGGCTGCACAATATATCATTTCAGCATTGATATCGCAATGTGTGTGTCCCCAGTTGACACATTGCAGGATGTTGGATTATAGTTTATCAGCACAACAGTTGAGAATACAGTGGAGTCTTTGCAAAGTCTAATCGTAACAGAATGAAATGTTATCATTTGCATGTGCTTTAAAGGCATTTCAAGAGAATTTGATGCATTCGGGCACAAAAAAAGTACATTTGGAACTTTAATGAAGAATAATTTTACTGATTTAGTACAGGGAAGGCTATACAGCGTTGTTATATTCCATTATTTAATTTTTGTACCTAAATACTGTTTGACTTAACAGAAAACCACAAATCACTGTGTATTTGACTTTTTGCGTTGCTCTATTGCAATTATTCTTGCTTCTAATTTTCTTTCTTTTTTTTTTTTTACATTATTCACACCCTTACACATTCACCCCGATCAATCTAAATGAAGAATATGTTGAAATTCTATTCATATCATATTCAATGTGTATATATATATTTATATATATATATATATATATATATATATATATATATATATATATATATATATATATATATATATATATATATATATACAGTATATATATCACAGAAGAATAAAATATCACAATGTTAGATTTTTATAATAAAAAAATAATAACAAAAAACAAGAATCTACAACATTCTTTAAACTAACTCCATAATTTTCTCGTCTCATTATTTGCTATTACATTTTTTTTTCAAAGTAAATAAACAGCAGAAACAGCGATCAAATCTATTCTTCCTTCATATACATTCTGAAAATCATATGCTTATACTGAGTGTGTGTGGATGTTTCCCAGAGATGGGTTGCAGCTGGAAGGGCATCTGCTGCGTAAAAACGTGCTGGATAAGTTGGCGGTTCATTCCGCTGTGGCAACCTCGAATTAATAAAGGGACTAAGCCATATTTACTATAAAAAAAACGAAAGCAACAGTAATGTATTATGAAGAATAAGATATTTTAAAATTGTAATTTTAACAATTTCACTAACCTTAATTTCTGTAGATTTTCTTTCCATTTTTATTATTATTAATTTATTTGTGTAGGATTGCATGAGATTGTGGTTGCTTAATTGTCATAAGGATATCACAATGTACAGCATTTTCTAAAGTTGTATGTAAAATATAGACAGACAGACAGACAGATAGTAGATAGATAGATAGACAGACAGTCAGACAGATAAAATGACAGACAGACAGACACCATAACATAGTCATAACATTTTTCAGCTAGGCTATTCACTTCATATGTACTGTAGCTGCAGACTACTGTAAAGATGTTGCTGAGACAAACCATATGTTTGTGTGTCTGCTCAGGAAAATGCTGCTTGAGAGTAACAGCAGAATAACAGTCATGGAAGGAGCAAAGCACAATTTACCAGACACAGATGCTCAGAAGTCTGCAGAGTGCATTCGGGATCTGGCCAGCAGTCTGACTGAGAAAGATCTGCTGCTTGTGCTCATTTCAGGTACTATTTGGATACTATTAGGATACTGATTTGCGAAAAAAACACTTTTTAAACAAAGATTTTAGATTTATGCTCATGTCTATATGTGTCTGCACACAGGTGGTGGTTCTGCTCTCTTGCCAGCTCCAGCTCCACCCATGTCCTTGCAGGAGAAACAGGATGTGACCCGAAAACTCGCCGCAGCAGGGGCTACAATTCAGGAGTTAAACACAGTGAGGCGAGCTCTGTCATTGTTAAAGGGTGGAGGCCTTGCCCAGTGTGCCAGCCCAGCCAAGGTAACAAAAACACATCAAAAGCACAATGTAGATATATACATCTAAGTCCCAGATTTGGGCACAGATTCAAGACCAACATTCAAGAATTTAAAGTGACACAAATGAAAAACTGCAGTATTTACTCAGCCTTAGGCCATCCAAGGTGTAGGAGCTGACATTTGTCCCTGGTTGTACCTTTGTGATTCATAAAAGTCAACGGCCACCGGCACATTAGAGTAAAAAAAAAAACAGGAAAATCAACGTGCAAGAAACTAAACATTATTTACAACAGTGCTATCGTTAAAGGTTCAAGACACCCTTGAGTACTTTTTTGAGATTTCAACATATATGTGTGTTGAGGATCAGTCAAGACATCATTAGCACCTATCAGCTTTAATTGTGAGGAAAACAGGAGATAAGTCCTCCTCATATAGTGTTTACATCATAGACTGTATGGAAGGAGTATCCGTGATGTCACCCATAGGTTTCTGAAGAACGCAAAAGAAGCTACAAGTGGGCGTGGCCAACGTCACCTTTTTGTTCATGTGTCATCGCAAAATACGTTGTATATGCCGAATGATCAGCCAGAATCAGCTGAGGTGAAGTGATGGCTACCAGTGAGACCTAGCTGTCACTCAAGTGGCCACGCCCTTAATTATGCAGACTTAATATAACTTAATATAAAAGAAACGAATGAGTTATAAAATAATTTACCCCCCTGAAGGGTAATATTAGCTATATGAACTAGGCTGTAAACACATTTTTTTCTGCTGTAAAGTTGGCCATTTTAACAGTGGTCTCAATAGAAATCTGCTGTATTATGGAGCCAGGTCTAGTGGAATTTCGATGAGTTGCAGTTTCAGTTACTTGCGTATTAGCTTCTCAAGAGAGAGCGGGAAATTGCCGCTTGGTTTACATGGTTATCCTCATAATTATATAACAGATTGTGGTTATGTTTAAATGAAATTACAAGTAACAAATGTAGCAGGGAATTAAATTACTGTTTATTTCTTTGCATTTTACCTTTGTAAACTATAAAATCAAGCGTCATCTCACGGTTTGTGTCATTTTGTGAGCCAACTGACAACAGTTGTTCGCTCTCCCTTTTTTCCACTGCTCAGCTGGCCACGCCCACTCCTTCCACTGCTCGCAGCGCTCCACGCCCATTATGATGTAGATTTGAACTGAAAGCCCTGAGCTGTTCATGTCTGTTCCTGTCCCTAATGATGTAAGTGCCGGTAACTGTTGACTTGCATTCAATGAATCAGCAAAGACAGTTTCAGCTACAAATCTTTATGTTCTACTGAAGAAAAAACAGTCCTGAGGTTAAGTGAATCATCTGCAGATGTTTGTTTTTTTTAATGAAAATTTAATACAACAGTGCAGGGTGCTTTCATACTAGCACTTTTGGTCCGCACCTGGGTTCATTTGACATCATAGAACGGTACGTTTAGCTAGTGAAAACTTGTCTTCTGAACTCGGGTGCATACCCATAAACCGTAGCTGAGTCCGCCTGAAAGAGGTGGTATGGGGTACGGTTCATGCGAACTCTGTTACGGGTCTCTTCTGATGTGAATGCAATTGTACCAAATAACGGTAGTTAACCGCCAACTGTACAACAAACTATCATTTTTATAATGTTCGTTCGTGTGTGTGTGTGTGTGTGTGTGTGTGTGTGTGTGTGTGTGTGTGTTACGCGGGACTGAGCCGGGTAGATACAAAGATGTCTGCTTGTCTCTTCCAAACACAGCTTCTACAGAAACTGTGTAATGTTTTGATTGGTTATATTTTTGCAGAAGAGTTGCTTTCTGTATGTCAAAACCAAAAGCTTCAGTAAAAGCAGAATGACCGCCATGTGCAGACGTTTCCATTTCGGCACTTGCTTTCGTGACCGTCACCTAGCAACGGCCGTAAACAAAACAGCAGCTCGATGACGGAAGCGTACCGGGGTTCAGAAGTAATAAAGTCAGTGTGAACACAAACCAACCGAGGAGGTGGCAAGCGGGGACAATCGAACTTGAATACGGTCCAGGCAATTGAACAAAGTGTGAAAGCACCCTAAAACAAAATACTGTTACATATTATGACACACTATACCTACACACAGTTCTGTCCAAAGTTGATTTTACATCATAGGTGCCCTTTATCTAAAAATCCCATTTTATTTTAAAAATGGTTCTTCTCTTCAAGACTTATTCCTCATTCAAAAATGAATGTAAAAATTAAGCAACAATCCACAATGTTAGTTGAGAATAATATATTCTCCAACATCACATTCTCTTTCAGGTGGTGGCTTTGGTTCTGTCAGATGTTATTGGAGATCCTCTGGATTTGATAGCCAGTGGCCCAACAGTCAGGAGTGACTCCTCACCAGAGGAGGTCTGGGCTATCTTGGATAATTATAAACTCTCTGACTCTCTTCCGTCCTCTGTAAAAGAGGTGCTTAGTAAATCTATGTCCGGCCAGGGGTCGCGGGTTAAGAACCAGCCACAAGAAGTTAAAGACAATGTTTTAAATGTTGTAATTGGCTCAAACACTATTGCACTTGAATGTGCAAGCCGCAAGGCCAGTGAATTAGGACTTAGACCAGTCATTCTGTCTCCAGGAGTATGTGGTGATGTTCGCTCTGTTGCTCGACTATATGGGTTGCTTTCGAGTTTTGCATGCTCCCCAGGAAAGGAACCTCCTCCAGAACTTGCTGCAGAGATACTTAAGCTAGGGCCAGAGGTCGGGATAGAAAGCTGGGACTTGTGTCGCACCATGAATGTACTCGTGGGGGAGAGGAAAGAAGGCTGGGGTGCGACCTGTCTGCTTGCAGGAGGAGAACCCACAGTGAAACTGAGTGGAAAAGGCAGGGGAGGAAGGAACCAGGAGCTGGCCATGCGGGTGGGGCTTGAGCTCAGCCAAGGAGAAGTGAAGAGTGGTGCAGTGTTTCTCAGTGGAGGAACCGATGGACAGGACGGCCCGACTGAGGCAGCTGGGGCCGTCGCTGATGGGGAACTGAAAGAAGAGGCTGCGTCTCAAGGGCTGGACACTGACAGCTTTCTCGCCAACAATGATTCATTCACCTTCTTTTCAAAGCTTTCTGAAGGACGACGGTTACTCAACCCTGGACTGACAGGGACCAATGTGATGGATGTCCATGTTATGCTGCTGCCACCATCACCCCAAAAAGACCTCCAGTAGTTTGACACTAGGTTGATTTATTTGAAAGCAACACAAATTTGGGGGTAATAAATGATTTTTCTGCTCTAA